TTTAGTTTGGATTATTAAAGGCAGTGGCAATAAAAGCAGCGGAGTGAGGATGATGAAGATAAGCCTTCGATATACCAAGATGGTGTTGAGAAGCCTCATTGCTGTGAGCAAAGAACTCCAATTTCTCATATGAAGTGTCTAAAAAAAAATGACAGCAGACATTAAATAACCAACCTGGATTAATATTTCTCTAGTCTATCATCTTGAGTCATTGCAACACTGTGGCCAGCATTAGTTAACATTAAATCTGATTTTTTATTGCTTTAGTGCCTCTACTAACATGCAAAGAAAAACAAACAGTGTGTTGGTGAAACTGAAGAATCGTCAGAACTAAGAGTGACTATGCAAGGCCTTTAAAGAATGACGATGTTTTCTCCCTGCTCCTTTCCCCTCCCCCAATGCTGTGTAAAAAATTTTTTGACACTAAGTAGAGCCTTTCTACTAACTAACATGAAAAACTAATTCTACTAAGGTGTTAATGAGCAGTCAATACTGACCTCTTCCTCTGGGCAGCAAATTTAAATTTTAAAAAGAATTTTCTGTAGATGAAGTCTTTAACATTCTATAACCAACATTCATTTAGCTAATATTTATTACAAATGTTTATTAATTGTCTACTTCACAAGGAGCACTGAAAGACAGCTTGAAGGTTGAAAAATTTTAGAGATATTTGGAACAAGTAGGTTTGGTGTGTGTGGGGAGGTATTTTTCAAGGGAGAAGATGGAGACTTCCAAACTTTCCTGATAAAAAGACCAGAGCTCAACAAAAAATTTGATCTTCAAGTACAGGACTCAAGAAGGACATAAAAAGGTAAATGGGACAGAAAGATACAATATGTTGTTAATGGGGGGGGCTGTTTAAAACCCTACAAGGAATATGACACTTGCAACCCTTGAGAATTGTACTGTTATTACAACCTGTTAAAGGAGTATACATAAAGAGGGTGGATATTAGTTGACTTTGTTGTAATGATAAAAAAAATTTAATCAAGTGGGTTAAATGGATCCAAATAAGTGGATCAATCTGATCTTAGAAAATGTACTGAGAAAGGACAAGGCAGACAAGGGTAAATTACACTATAGGAAAAGACACAAAATCCTATTACAGCAGAGGGAAAGAAGGGAGGGGTGGAGCATTGTTTGAACCTTACTTTCATCAGATTTGGCTCAAGAAGGGTATAACACAATCAGTTAGGTATAGAAATCTAACTTGCCCTATAGGCAGTAGGAGGGAAAAGGGGAAAGAAAAGGCAGAGGGGAAAGAAGGGAGGGAAGAAGCAGTAAGAGTAAAGGGGAAGAAAAAGGAAAGAGATAATAAAAGGGAGGACGGACTGAAGGAGGCAGTGGTCAAAAGCAAAACACTAGTGAAGGGGGGAAAGGAAAAAGGAGAAAGAAAAGCATAAATAGGGGGAAAAAGGATGGAGAAAAAGACACAGATAGTAATCATAACTGTGAATGTGAATGGGATGAACTCTCCCATAAAATGGAAACAGATTGCAGAATGGATTAAAAACCATAATCCTACAATATGTTGTTTACAGTAAAAGTGAAGCCATATATAAGTACCTTATATCCCCACATCTCTGTATAGTTTCTAAAGCTATTTTCTCTCAACAATATGGCAAAGTAGGTATAACAAATATTATTTTTACCTAACTGCTCTGGGACTTAGTCTTCCTATTTGGAAAATGAAAGGGTTGAACTAGAAGGCCTCCAAAATTGCTTCTAGTTCAGAGTAATCTTATAATACTTATCCTCTCTCCAAATGAAGTCATTTTTATATATGGAATGAATACATGTTTTCATCGATATAAGACTCTATCAACAAGGAAACTCCTTTACCAATGCCAGTCAGAATCTGCTCTGCAACTTAAAGTCTTAGAAAGCTGCCTGGGGCACTGAAACATTATGTGACTAATGACAATCATTATTATTATAGGACAGCTACGTGGTATAGTGGACAGAGTGATGGGCCCGGAGTCATGCAGACTCATCTTTCTGTGTCCAAATCCGGACTCAGATCCTGGGCAAGTCACTTAACCCTATTTGCCTCAGTTTCCTCATCTGTAAAATGGGAAGGAAATGACAAACCACTCCACTATCTTTGCCAAGAAAATCCCCAACAGCGTCACCAATGAGGAAACTGAGACTGAGAGATATTAACTGACTTGCCCAGGGTAACACTGCTAGTAAGTGGCTGAGGCTAAATTTGAACACTCAGCTCTTCCTGACTCCAGCAGCCTCCAGGTCCAGCAGCTTCTAAATCTTAACTCGCTTAGGCTAACAGAGCCAGGACTGGTCAGTGATATGTCTTAAGTGGCTAATTAAGTGGTTTTTCTGACTCTGATTTCTTCTTCTTTTTTTTCTTTTTTTTTTCTTTTTAGGCAATCGGGGTTAAGTGACTTGCCCAGGGTCACACAGCTAGTAAGTGTCAAGCATTTGGTCTGAGGCCAGATTTGAACTCACATCCTTCTGACTTCGGGGCCAGTGCTCTATCCACTGTGCCACCTAGCTGCCCCTCTCACTCTGATTTCTGCTTTCTCTCCATGACAGCATGTTGCTTTTCTATCCAGCAAACCAGGGATCCAACCTTGGGAGCGATTGAATCAGCTCCCCTGCCTCACACAGATCCAATTCATTCACAAGTCAGAACATCCTATTCATGATCTCGTTGGTCCTCTTCAAGAATGAAGGATGGACAACAATTATGGAAGGCAAAATTGAGACCATGGTTAAATGATTTATCTGAGTTCTCACCGCAGTGCCAGAATTCAGATTGTGGTTTAAGTCTGGGGCTATCTACTGTAACATGTTAAACAGGTAAACAACAGCTATCATCCTTCATTCTGGACAGTCTCCTTTCTATCTGCTGCAAAGGACATTCTGATTTCCACCTCATTGCTTTCGTTCTTCCTAGTCTTCTACAGGATACATCCTCCCTATCTAACCAAATTATGCTTTTTTTTTTCTTTAAGACTTGTTTGAGGGGCAGCTAGGTGGTGCAGTGGATAGAGCACTGGCCCTGGATTCAAGAGGACCTGAGTTCAAATCTGAACTCAGACACATAACACTTACTAGCTGTGTGACCTTGGGCAAGTCACTTAACCCCATTGCCTAGCAAAAACAAAACAAAACAAAAAAAGACTTGTTTCAAATTCTCTTCATGAAGCCTTGCTGATACTTCCCACTCACACTGGTTCTGCTTTTATTCACATACTACATATTGTCTTTAAAATATTTTTTGGCCTGCATTTGAAATTCTATCTTGTTTCATTTTCTGTTTCATATGTGTAAGTATTAAGTCCTCAGCTCCTTTTGTAGCTTTTCTTTTCTTTAGTCTACAATAGAAGGCAAATAGGCACTAAATAAAATGTTGATTGAATAAAAGTTCTCTATATACTTATCCTGTGACTAAAAAGTTTGGGTCACTTAGCCAAGTGGGTTAATATAAAGCAATATGCAGTACCCATCTAGATTTCCACAAAGAAAAATGTTATTCTATAGTTAAAGATGTCATATTGAGCCCCAGACAGCTTTCTTTCGGATGAACACCACTGATCCTCCATGTTTTCCTTCCTTTCTGGTCTCCATTCCTGACTCTCTGGACATCTCAGTCCCCTATGTCAAAGAATCCTTCCCACCTAGGAAATTAATTGGCCACTGGGGCCTTCTCACTCTGGAACATCCCTAGGCCCTTACAGTCCCTCCCTCTGATTGGTCAATTTCTCCTGTAGCCTTTATTTTAAAAGTATCCAGGCCAGCCATGTTCATGCCTTCACCCTGTTCCAGGCTCCATTCCCTCTTTACTCTCAGAACTTTTTTTCTGCGCCATGTATATCTCTCCTCATATCGGTACCTTCTGTCCAACTATACTCCCCGCCCAGCTCTTTTTTGATGTGTTACTTTCCCCTATTAGAATGCAGCTCCTTGAGGACAGGAGCTGTATTTATTTTTAGTGCTTAGCACAGCGTCTAGTATTTGGTGTTTTAGTAAATACTTCTTGACTTGATCCTCAGCATAATAAGAATTCCAAATCAGCTTTTACTACTCAAACCTCAATTAACTTTGTAATTTTGCTCTGAAATCATATGAGGCAATGTTAGTTAAGTTATTTCAATTTTGGAGAAATAGAAGTGTGTATGCAACCCTCTGCAGGCTAGCAGGTTGTTGGCTAATTGCTAAATTCCCCATAATCTGACTGATAAACAAGTCTGAGAAACGGGATTAAGAAAGTGACCATAGAACATTCTGTACATTTCTCAAAGCTGAGATTTCCTGTCCTTGCAGCAATGATTTACACTCTTGTAAGTTGCTTAATAAAGCAGTGGGGTGGCACAGCAGATAGAGTGTCAGGTGTGGAGTTAGGAAGACTCCTTTTCCTAAGTTCAGATCTGACCTCAGATACTTAATATCTATGTGACTCTAAGCAAGTCACTTTACCCTATTCACTTCAGTTTCCTCATCTGTAAATGAGCTAGAGAAGGAAATGGCAAACCACACCAGTATCTTTCCCAAGAAAACCCCAAATGGGGTCATGAAGAGTCAGATACAACTGAAAAACAACTGAACACCAACAAAAGTTTCTTAATAATGGATCATTAGTCACATGGGGATGCCCCTAAGGCAAATCTTATAAATCAGTTTAATTCCCTATTCCTGTCATACTTCCTTATTCTGTAAATTCTATTAACATGTATTAATGAGTATTATTAATCTCATGAATACATATTTTAATTAGTTCCTGTCTTTAGAGTATAAGAATGCTCTATATTCTGTCATGAATATCCTTGGCTACTGAGGAGCCTTGGGTCCAATTTACTGGCAATTGATAGCTTTGCTAATAAATTGATAATGTTGGGAACTTTGCGCTTCAGTTTATCTTTATTTCTTGCTAAACAGTAACCAGGTATAGATAGATGACAATTCAGTACCGCCTAACCTCACAGCTGGGGAAATGGATCAGAGTGCAGGTCGTACTAAAAGTGGGTCAGTAGTATTATTTTCATATATTAAATATAACTCAGTTACAGACTCCTATTTTCATCTCTTTAGATTCTTTGAGTTCAAATTATATACTAGGTTGGCCGAATAGATAGTAAAGAATAAAATGAATTTAATAGATCAGAGTAGATAGAAAATAAGAGATATCATTGCAAAGTGGATGGGGAGCTAGTCTTAGAGATAGAAAGACCAACTTTAAGCCCCATGTTTTATATATATGTTGGCTGTGTGACCCTGAAAAGTAGGCAGAACTCTCAGTAGGCAGCTCTCTATGAATATGAATTACAGAGCAGGTGGCCCAATCTGAATTAATAGAGAGAATTCCCTATAATAAGGAAATCACAGGTAGGTCCAGTCCCCTCCAAAAAAGGGCAGAAAATATTTTTCTCCTGACAGTCCTATGGCAAAAGTCACTCAAGGCAGTTCCCAGAAATAAATTGTATATTCTAATAACTTCCATGTATCTCATATATTTCAGATATTAATCTATGAAAAGGAAACAAGTTTCACACATGCGGTGAGTTCAATAACTGCTTTTTTTTATAATAAGTAAGACAACTAACATTGGTTTCCTTTTCTTGCACTGTGACATCCAATCTTAGTGTTGGACTGGTAACATAATTGATCAAAAGATCTCACATTTCACCTTTATGGTTCTACATCTTTAGCCTTTAGAGGGTCCCCTGAACTTGTTCTCTAAACCCACAAAATGCAGAATGACATGAAATCAATGGCAAGGATTTATTAAGTATATACTATGTACCAGGCATTGTGCTAAGGTCTCTGGGTACAAAAAAAAAAAAAAGACAATCCTTGCCCTAAAAGCTTGCAGATTAATGGGAAAAATGCTAAGTGGAAATTCCCTGGGCAGAACAGAAATGTCTTTCAAGATACTGTCATCAGTACTATATGTTATTATAAAGATTGCAAAGGCCTTTTCATCTATATAAGGTGTGGCTTTGGGGATATCCTGCAATCTCATTTGAGCCTGACAACTACCCTGTGAGGTCAATACCACAAATGCCATTACTCTCATTTTACACATGAGGAATCTATGGTTAAGAGAGGTTAAACGACTTGCCAATCAATGGTCATGAAACCAATAAGTGTAAGAGATGGGATTTGAATACTGAAATGTTAGTTTTTTTGAGTCCAAATTAGTAAATCTCAATCTTTTCTTTCTAAAATAAAGAGGCTGCTGTTTAGTAACTAGGGTCATACATAAGTTGTAAGAAACTAAATTTCAATTATTTATTAACCACAGCTTCATTGGTCATTCTTCCCCTGCCAAGAAGTAAATAACTGACTGAAGACATGATGAGGCTTGAACTGTGCCCTAGGAGGTAGCTAACCCAAACTCCCCTTAAAACAAGATAGGAAGAAAATTCCAGAGGTCTTAAATATCTGGGGAGGGGGAGTGTTGGAGTAGGAGAAAACATTCCACCAACACCCTAACATTGAAACGTGGATGCTACTTGTTACATTCATGACTCGTGGTGAGCAAAATCAAGTTGGATGCTCTTCTGCTAATAAACATGTTTTGCATTTAGGTAGAAGAGGGGAAAGAGAACAAGAAGAGAAAGAAGAAAAATGGAGATTAGAGAGGGAAGAGCATTCTCGGTTTGTTATCTACTCTTACTCACTACCTCCTTAGGAACTCGGAATGGAATGAAAGTCATTAAAAAAAAACAACTAGAAAACTTCTTAATCTCACTCCTTTCCCCCTAGCCCCTTCCTGTCCAGATTCAACAAATGTAATATTCTACCCAATCATAAAAATATTTCGCTTTCTGATTTGTACGGTATTATAACAATAGTTAGTATCTAAAGCAAGGAATATCCTTACTAACCATCTCATACAACACTCTCATTTCACAGATTTACCTAGATAGGTAAAATCCTTTGCTCAATTTTACAGAGGTAGTTAGCAACAAAATTGAAATTTAAATCCAGGATTTTTTAGGTATACCATGCTGCCTCTTCCTTCGATTTACTGATACAGAAATGAGAAGTAAATGGATGAGGGCTGCATCTAGATTCAAAGGTCCTGAGTTCAAAGCTCACCTCTGACATTTTATTACCTGTGTACCCTTGAAAAAGTCACTTAACCACCCTGGGCCTCAGCCTCTCCATTTGTAAAATGAGGTTGTTGAGACACTAATGCACTGTTGGTGGAGTTATGAATTAATTCAAGCATTCTGGAGAGCAATGCCCAAAGACCTATAAAACCGCATATCCTTTAACTCAACAATACCACTACTAGATTGGTATCCCAAAGACAGCAAAGAAAAAAGGACCTAGATGTACACAAATATTTACAGTAGCTCTTTTTATGGTGGTAAAGAATCAGAAATTGAAGGGATGCCCATCAATTAGGCAATGGCTGAACAAGTTGTGGTATATGATTGTGATGGAATAGTATTATGCTATAAGAAATGACTAGCAAGATGCTCTCAGAAAAACCTGGAAAGACTTAAATGAACTGATGCAAAGTGAAATAAGCAGAACCAGAAGAACAATGTACACAGTAACAGCAATATTGTAGGATGATCAACTGTGAATGACTTAGCTATTCTCAGCAATACAATGATCCAAGATAATTCTGAAGGACTTTTGATGAAAAATCTTATTCATCTCCAGAAAAAGAGCCAATGGGGTCTGAATGCAGATTGAAGCATACTTTTTAAAAACTTTATTTTTCTTGGTTTTTTTGGGGGGGAGAGGGATCTGTGTTTGCTTCCACATGATTAATATGGAAATATGTTTTGCATGACTGCACATGTATAACCTATATCAAATTGTTTGTCTTCTCAATGACTGGGGAGAGAGGGAGGAAGGAAATTTAGAACTCAAAATTTTAAAAAACAAAGCCTATGATCTTAAGTCAGCAATAATTTTCTGAGGCTATCTTTGATTTCATCAGCTTAGAGCATAGGCAGAATGACTTTTACCAAGTCAGCACCCCTGTGGGACAAGAGGGGGGAAATGGTATACTGGAAACTCTTGTCAACCTTTGGATTCCCTTGGATTAAAGCTGAGGATTTTCAGGATTGAGGCCAGAGTCCTTAGGATGTATTTCAGGCTATTATATCACCGGTACAATAATCAGCTCAGCAGAATCTGAGGAATATCTTATATCCTTACCTAGCCAGTCAATTTTACTGTCCACATAATGGAGAAGTCCTCTCCTGAGCAGAGCACAAGAGATCGGTTCAAAGAAAATGCCCAACCCAGTTCCATTAAGTCATTTTCACTGGCAAACACAAATTCCAGGAGTTCCTTGTTTTAACTTGTCTTTGCCATCTAGAAGACCTACTTCCCTCAGGAGAATGTAAGGGCCTTGAGAGCAGGAACAATGCCATTTTTGCCTTTGTATCTTCTGAGCCTAACACAGTGACTTGCGTGTGCAAAGTATTTGATAACATACTTGTTGAATTTGAAACATGTCCTATAAAATCGTTGATATTTCTAGTACTGTATTTTTTCACACAAAAGCAACAGCCCTGTTGGATCTGGAACACCCCGGCCCAGACAAAAATTAAAGATGGGCTTCGTTAACAAAGTTTCTAATTGTGATTTCTTTTTAAGGTGTAATACACAGGGTTAACACAATCAAACCTACTGTCAAGCTGACCCTTCTTCCTTGAAGTATTATTTTTTTCCCAGTAAATGTGGACTATTTCACAATATGTTATTAACATGAATAAAGAAAGCAAGCTAGATTGACCTCTCTCAGTAATTTTCTGTTGGCATAGCTACAGAACTTACTGTTCTTTAACTACAAGCTTCTTTTCTCATTGGGGTTAGTTGCATGTTGAAAACTTTTGTTTTAGAAGTGAATTTAGCAGTGGTTGAAGGAAACAAATGGAAGTTTCTTAACTTCCCTTCCATTTTCCACAAAAGTATTAATTGTCTTTGAGAAAGGGGACATCATCTTTAGAAGTACCTTTGCTGGGTTTTTTTTGCTTCATTTTCTTTACTATAAATTTATAGTAATTTGTTATAAATTTCTGGGATCACTGTAGTTTCTATATTTTTTAAGAAAAAAAGGCCAAAGTTTTTTTCCCCCTAATTTATTTTATCTTAAGAGTAAGACTTCATTAATTGGCACTATCCTGGTCACATAGAGGATACTTGATAAATGCATGAATATGTATTGGATAAAGTAATGAAGAATTGTGTGTGGAACAGTGGGAATTCTAGATTATTCTTTAAGAAATGCAATTTTCTGGAAAATGGATAAAAATGTAGTATGTGAATGCAATGGAAATTTATTGTATCATAAAAATGTCAAATATTAATAATACAAAGACATACAGGACTACATGCAGAGTAGAGGGAACAGAATTAGAACAAAAGTATATACATACTGACTAAAATTATATAAAAAAAGAATCATAGGGATAATATCAAAATTAAGGTGATTTGTTACATGATGTTGTAGCTATCTTGTTAATGATGTTAGCATGTAATTACCACTTTAAGGCTTCCAAACTGCTTTGTGTTATTCCATTTGATCCTCCTGACACCCCCTATGAGGTAAGTGCTATTATTATCATCCCCATTTTACAGATGTGAAAACTGAGGCTGAGAGCTATAAAGTGACTTGCCCAGGACTGCACAGCTATTCAGTATCTAAGGCAAGATTGGAAGTCAGTTCTTCCTGATTCCAAGTGCCTCTCTCTATCCACTATGCCTCTAGCTGCCAATCCCATCTATACACAATATACAGCTTTTTTTGTTTCATATTTAACTGTAGGTGGTAGTTTATGTTTCTTTATGTACAATGGTTTTCATATCTTCTTGGGTATTTGACTGGTGTTCATAAAGATTGCTGTTCAGAATTTTAAAAACAGAAAAGCAATATTTTCCATTTCAAGTGCATATGGCCACTCAAAGTATTCACTAACATAGTACCTAATCCATATCTTTGTCCGCTAAGTAAATGTCTGTTGAATAAATGAAAGAAATTAGGCTAACAAAGTATCACATAGTAGACATCTTAGAAGATGTGCTTTAATAAATGGACAATAAATTGTTTATAATTAGCATTCTTGGTGTGTATATTTGACATTACTAAATTACTTGAAAATTATTCTCAGATATATTAAAGATTCCCACACCATCTCTTAAATCTTACTCACATCGTTAATTTGCTCAATAAACTCCTTTTTTCTGACAGATAATCTAAAGGTAAGCTCCCACTTGTCCTCATCAGAATTGTCCCAAAGTCCACATACAGGAAATTTTTTAGTCAGAGGACTCCCTTGAACAGAGCAAAAAAGATTGGTTTAAGGAACCAATTTAGGGAATTTTGGACTAATGAGATATTTCTATATTATTAGTTCCCTTGGCAGGAGTGGTTTCCTAAACATTGCGGAGTAAGAGGAGTTTAAGGGAGGGAAGGAGAGGAAGGATTTATTAAGTGCCTACTGTGTGCCAAATACTGTCCAAAGCACTTTACAAATATTTTATTTGATCCCCACAATCACTCTGGGAGGGAGGTGTTATTATTTCCACTTTACAAATGAGAAAACTGAGGCTGAGAACAGTAAAGTGACGTAACTCATGTGTGAGGACAGATTTTAATTCAGGTCTTCCTAATTCCAGGCCCAGTGCTCTATCAAATTGTGCCAACTAGCTGCTTGTGACAACGAAATGGACAATTGAACTCATTACAAAAAAAGAAAAAGAAGAGAAGGAGGGAAGGATGGAGGGAGAGAGAGACAAGGAAGGAGGAAGGGAGAGAGACAGAGACAAAGCTAGAGAGACAGAAAGAGACAGTGACAGAGCCAGGGAGAAGCAACCACAACTCATATCAATAAGAAGTCCAATATTCCCAGACAGAAAAAAACAAATTGGCTATGGGTAATTCCAATCCACTATGGGCTCTAAGAAACCCAGTCTATACAGTATAAAACAAAGTCCTGCATTTCTCCAAGAAGTATTCATCTTTGAGAGCATGATATTGTTATGCCCTGTAACTTCGTGAATATTTTCATATATGTTAAGATAAATTAAAGTTTCTAGTACATGTTTTTCTTTTTTGTCATTTCATAGGCTTTTGAAGCCAAAGGAAACTTCAAAGATCACTGATTCTACTAGCCTCTTCATCTTACAGACAAGGAAACTGAGACCCAAAGAAATTAAATGATTTGCTCAAGATTATATAGCTAGAAAGTGACAGACCCATGAATGAAACCCAGATCTCCCCACTCCCAGTCCATTGCTCTTTCCTATAAACCATGTCACTGCATAATGTTGTTTTCATTATCAAGGATTGCCTTTTGGACTGGCTTCATTGTTGCATGCTTTCAAAAAACATCTGGCAGCAACTGTATAACTTAGCAAAGGGTCTGCTGACTTGGATAAATGTTTCACTGACACTAAAATAACAATCTCTGTAAATCATCTAGAAGTTATTCTGAGGGAGAATCACAGTCTGTAGATAGCAGTAATTGAAGTAAAATTACCTTCAATACAATAACAATCTATAATTTTGTGGCTGTGGGAACTACTTCCAGCAATATGAAACACAACCCAACTATGATTTAGCAGATTATTTTTGAGTTTCTATGACAAAAATAATTGTCACCATTTGGCCAACCAGGGAATAAACTTCTTTGAACTAGACTAAGGGGTCTTTGGACAACACGCATTCTCAAAGACCTTCCCTTGAGTTTGACGGACCTGCCAGAGGTCACGCTATGCCTTAGAGAATTCAGAGTTACCTTCCTACCTCATGAGTTGACTGAGTAGTTCTTTAGTAGAAAAAGGTAAAACTGAATAAAGCCATAAACAGAGATAATGATGATGATAACAATAAAAATAGCAAGCATTTTTATAGTGCTTAAAGGTTTGAAAAGGACTTTATAAATATTGTCTTATTTTATCCTCACAATTACCATAGGAGGTAGGTGCAATTATTATCCACATTTTACAGAAGAAAAAAACGAGACAGCCAAAGATTAAGTGACTTATCCAGAGTCATACAGCTAAGAAAGTATCTGAGGCCATATTTGAATTCAGATCTTTCTGACCCCAGGTCCACTGTTCTTATCCACTATGCCATCTGTTCTACAGTTTTACTATGCTTATTAAAGTAACAAACCATGTTTGGGTCTAAGAGGGTAACAACAGCCTCTCAGTCCTTAGGCTCTCAATCTAGGAGCCATCCTGGATTCTTCACTATCTCTTTTCAGTCATATTCAAGCGTTGCCAGGAACTGCCAATTTTATCTTTGCAACAGCTCTTGAATATGCCCCCTTACCTCCACTGACACTGCCAC